GGCCAGTTTTGATTCAATGATTCCTGGAGAAAATGGCTAAGGGAATATTTACGTCGGCCATTGTCAGTCCTTGGCTTGTGGGTCCCATGATTTGCTGCCCTTTGAAGAGAGGAATTGTGGCCATCGAGATCAGAGAGCGTTTCATTCGACGAATCGAGCAGCCCGATTCTTCTTATGCAGATCCTTGGAATTCGCAGTGGTTCGCATTGTTCAAGAGAACATGGCATTCACGTGGAACACATGGGAGAACGTGCAGGTCGCCCGGCTAAAAATCTGTGAATCATAGGAGGCACAGTGTCTGAATTGTTGCGTTCATTCTCCAGTCCGCTGAGCAAAAGATCACCAAGCCTCTCGAAAATATGTGGGTTTGTGCTTGGATGCTCGTTGCCAAGTTAGAAAGTGGTTAGCCCATTGGGTTGTTTCACCCCCTAACAAGGTTAGCCCCACATTCACAGGGGACCTATTAGTGGCTTATAACCAAACGGTTTCCGTTACAACTTACTAACTTGGCCGAACATCCGAGTATCAAAATAAGGGGACGCCCCAAAAAGGTGGCTTGCTTTTGGTTTGAGACAACAACTACCCAAAAGGGTACTGAGGCTCCAAACAGAAATGCGTGTCACACCCATATATCAGGGCAGCACGAGGTTTGCGCGACTTCCAGGCAGTTTCCCAGAAATCGGGACTGATATTTTTGTGTTTTGTTCGATTCACCGGTTATGTGTTTGGAGTTGCTACCCCGAATGCGGGTTGGTTTAAAGGGAGCCCGCAAGGAAATTCAACATCATACCGCTAGCGTATTGCAACGTGCTCCTAGAATATGCCTCATGAATGTTCCCTGCCACGGCAAGCCACCTCGGCCTTTGATTGCGCGTGGTGACACCGGGCAACTGCCATGCGTGGTGCAATTCCAGGCCATCGAGGGCAAGTTGGTGGCACCATCCCACACTCGGACAAAGTGGTCGCGATGCAGCACGTTTCTGAGTACATGTCCTTTCGCAACAAGCGTGCGATGGTGGAAGGTGACGGCACCGCGTGGGACACCGTGTTGCTCACCTGGCTTTCGCGATTTCTCACGGAAAATGGCCGCTGATTGGGCACGTCTGCAACCTGCTTGCTGGCTGCTCTAGACCCAGGAAACAGGGGCAGGTCAGCGTAGCGATCTTTTGACTTTCGTCTGAGCATTATTTTGGTATTCGCATGGTTCCCTTTTTTTGTGAGGAATATGGGTAATTGCTTGGTTCCGTACTTCCTTGTTTGTGCAAGTGGTTCATCAAACATCTCAGGCAGGTCCATGGCGTTCGGCAGGTTCAGTACTGCGTGATCCGCATGGATGATGTGTTGTCCCAGCGCGTGCGGGGGCCCAGCAGAAACTGAAGGAGGTCCCAAGTGTCTCATGTCCATCAGGGGAATTGGTGGACAGATACAACTGGTCCACCGCAGCTCCCGAAGTGGGTTATGAGTTCCCCCAAGTTTTGGAGGAGAACACCCCTCCTATGACTAGACATAGGGCTTGTTAATCCGGGGTCAACAGTAGTTGCATACGGGCCTGTCCTTTTTTCATGGTACCCCTTTTTGGCGGTGTCGAAAGCGAACCGAAGGGGAAATCCACAATTTTGGAGGGTCCCCCCAAAACAACACCCATATTGCGGGTATCCGGTGCCCCCTAATTGGTTAGGGGGTGGGGTTGGGCCCGCCATTTCTGAGCCTCTAGGTTTAAATCCTTACCAATCCAAACCACCCACCAAGTTGCACTTGATGTTGCTTGATGACTCGAAGGGCTTAGAATGGTGTCCTTCTGTTCAAAGTGACACCTGTGCCAAGGTGCAAGTCACCCGCATCAACGCCACGTTTCTCCTCTGTGCGCCGGGCCACGTGTTTTCGGGACGAAAAGGAGAGCCGGCGAGTGCAAAGTCTCTGGCGCATTGACCACATGTGTCATGCTCAACACTAGTTGGGCAAGGCCATGGCTCACACACCTGGATTTCTTCCACGTGTTTTATGAAACACATTCCTTCCTCTCTGCCTGGGTCTCATGAGCACAGGATGTAAGATCATGGAATGAGCATTGCGAGACGTGAGCGTCAACCCCAGGAACAGATCTCATCATGGTTGTTGTTGGGACACATTTGCCCATTTTTGCTTCTCGTGGTTTTTCGTGGTTGAAATCCGAAGCCACTTCGCTGCTAACATTTTTTCACTTGTTGCTCCCCTTGTAACGTCAAGTGCCGAGGTCGAGTCAACCCTGGTTCCCAGATCTCATGTCCACTGGTCCAGTGAGTTCCACGGACCACCGGAAAAATAACTCGGGTTTCGGTGGGATTCCCGTGCGGGGTTTTAGTTCGGTTTTGAGCCCTCTGGTTTGGAGAAGGCGATGGATCGATGAGAAGTTCAGCGGAGCGGTGTTTGAATGGATTCAGTCGAGATTCCCGGTCTTAGCTCTACTTGGGAGGGGCTAGCATTTGAGCCACGTCCTCAAAACGTGGCTAGATGAAGCTTGGTAAGGGGCAGTCCCAGCCAGAAAGAGTTGCGGCCGGCTTCTTAATGCTTGAAGCATGGTTCTGGATAGACCATCTGCATAGCGGGTTTTGATGGTGACTCATTTGGGACTCGTGGCACTTTCTGAGAATAAAAGCAAAACGGCGACGCGCCTTGTCCCGCCTCATCGATGAGCGCTGTGGTGACTCCCCAGACCCATGCCCAGCGAAGGTGTCGATGGCCCAACAGATATTACCTAACCCTAAGCATCATTGACCACCCATTGAACGTGTCAGGACTTCCATTGGTGTTGAACCTTAAAGTGAAGTTTTTGAGGGCCCAAGGTGCTTGGGGAAGCAAACTACCACCATAGACGTGAAACATATATTGGCGGCTTCCATCTCAGTGGATGGCTCGACGAAAATTATCTTCCCCAGGAAATCCAAGAGGACAGTTGTCTTAAGGTCAGGGCATCAATCCAGCCACCTTGGTGGTCTCCGAGTCGACCGATGTGCTTCTCTGATCCCAACAAATGGGGTGAACCTGGTTTGCTCCACAGGGGAACCTCTGTGTGTGTGGTTGGTGTGTGTGTGTGTGTTTCTATGTGTTTTTGTTTTCTTTCCTTTTTTTTTTTTGCGGGGTGCCCGTTCTGTCGAAGTTTTTTGGGCAACCAGAAAACCGGCATGTTGGCGTTCTTCTATTTTGAGACACTTTCATTTGCAATGCAGAGGTTGCATTACGAACCTCAGAGCCACACGATGAAAATTCCATCACAAGCTCGGCCTTCCCACCTGACCCGAATGAAGGTCTTCGAATGCTTGTGGGATTTGTGTCTTCTGCCATGGCCTTGTTTGAATCCCCCTCAAAGCGATAAAGAAGTCAAAGGGATGGGATGGCCTATTTTTGGATGACAGAAAAGCCCAGACACTCAAACTACCCAGGAAAAAGGGACATCACCCCAGGATTTTGGGGGCAATCGCCCATTTGTACGGGGTTGTTTTTCCATGGAGAGGTCTTTGCCCCGCAAACGGCCAGGCTCTTTGGAGACGCCGATGCCTCGGTTGTTCGGGTTTGGCTGCCTCACTGCTAGACAGAGAGAGAGAGGGAGAGAGGGAGAGAGTGAGAGAGAGAGAGAGAGAGACACGGACAGAGAAAGAAAGAGAAAGATAAAGACAGAGCAGTGGTGGTTTCTTTTTGAGTTGAAAGGAATGTTTCGTTGGGTGTGTGTTGTTGTTGAGGTTGGACCCCGCAACATGGCGCAACGCTGTTCCTTTCGGTTCCCTTTCCAAAAGGGCTACCTCAAAGAAATAGACCCATAGAAATATGAGTGTCGCAGTTTTTGCAGTGCCCCATCCATGGCCAAACTGTTTGACTTGCAAAGTTCTCCGCGTGCGAGTGGCAGTGATAGGTTTAGCATGTCTCCGGCTTGCGCCACCTTGCGCCACCTTGCGCCACCTTGCGCCACCTTGCGCCACCTTGCGCCACCTTGCGCCACCTTGCGCCACCTTGCGCCCCCTTGCGCTGCATGCATTTCAGAAGAACAGTGGCTGTTTTCAGGGTACCCCTCCAAACGGAGGTTTTCCAGTTGATGTCCCTTTAAAACTTACCAAAAAGGGTACCCTCAAACGAAGACAGGCCCATATGGAGCGCGTCCGCGTTGAACGTGTTGCGGACTTGTATCACACTGTCCTGCCCTTGTCGACACCCCATCGAACGAGAAGTAAACGCATCAGCCACATCTTTGGGCGTCTGCTTTCCCTGCAAAAAGTGCTCTTGACCTCAGATGTTCCACTGAGTGCCTGGACCCGAAAGAACTACCCATGAAGAAACAGACAGATCGCCCCATATTTTTTGGGGGGCCAGGACCCGTTTCTTCTAGTGGCTTGCTGGGTACATGGGTTGTGTTTTTTATCTTGCTCCAACGGCCGAAAGCTGTGTGTGGCCCATGTTCTCTCGACTTGCCAAAGCTATCCGTGGAGATGCCTGTTGAGAGGCAGTGGAAGCATGGTAGGCTGTCTCTTTTTTTCATGGGGGGGAAGACACAACACCCGGAGGGAGACAGGGGAAGTGGTTGAGCATGAGAGTTGCCAGGATCCTCAGATTTCTCGTTACTGTACATCAGCGAAGTTGGTTCGCAAGTTTTTTCCCCAGCTGGAAGCAATGGGGTCGACAGGAGACAGGTGTTCAGGCAAGGTCCCGGGTGGTGAGGCAGGGTTCTGCAGGTTCCCAGAAAGTTCCGTGTTGGGGATGCCACCTGGGCTTCTAGATACGATTCGCAATGCTTCGTTTGCATTTGTCCACCCAAGGTGAATTGTCCATATTATATGCCGCGTTGGTTTTTGTTTCGAGATGGGTTCGGAGTTTTGTGTGCTCAACTCGACGTTGCATGAATTCCCGGAGCGTCTTGCCTTCAACACACTCTTACCAGACCCCTGGATCACTTTTAGCTCAGAGAAACCCCTAAACAATGGCAATCCAACACGGCCTCAAGTCTTATGCAAATACAAGAACTTACTGAATCCAGTGCACTATGCGAATGCTGTAGATGGCGGCTGGAGTAGGACCAGGAGCAATGGACAAGAGAGTGCAGTATCATGCTGGGCGCTTTCGGCAGACGAACGCCCGCGCTGTTCTGCATCGCTACGAGGTGCGGAGTTGGCAGATGAGCAAGGAAGAGCTGGAACGCCATGCTTTTCATGTGGCTTGCTGGCTGGTGGTGCTTTCCGTTGACGAGTCAACTCAAGACCACAACGGCTTGTCTGTATTGAGATTGTTTGTGCTGTACTTGAAGTCGCTGAAGGAGGCGCGTTGGCAACCTGGCGACTGTTTGGCTGGGATTCTGCCACTTGTCTCTGCACGAGCCTGTTCTTTGGGAGATGATCCGATGGGCAGGCGCCTACTGAGGCAGCTAAAGGATCTTGTTCCCAGCGCAGAGACATATTCTCAAGGCAAAGCAAGCGGCGCGGTCAGCTCAGCTTGTGAGCCTTCTGAGGCCAAGGCAGTGCATCTGACGCAGAAGGCCATCCAGAGATGGAAGAACCTGGATCCTGTGAGTCGTGAGGCGTATGTTGAGCTTTTAGAGAGGGAAGTCGAATCCGATGGTGTGGGGCCAAGGATCCTGCGCAGTGCTGTGGCTGCCTTGTCGCCGCCCCGTTGCAAGGGCGACGATGTGTCCACCGGAACCGACGAAGCGGTTGCGACCGAGACGCCGGTGTCCAAAGATCTGCAAGCCCGGCTGCGCAGGATCGTGCTTTGGTGCCTGGATGGCTTGGATTTGAGCAACCCCAATGTTGCGCCTGCGCTGGAGTGTTTGCGTGCGCACGTGCAGCGATTTCAGGAGTTGTTAGCAAGCAGCCGCATTGTGGCTTGCCAGAAACACTGGAATCGGATACAAACCAGGTGTGCGGCACCAAATATTGCCGACGTTGCTTCAGACCCCAGTTCTGGAATGCAATCATCGACACCAAGACCTTCTCCAGACATCCCAGCTCGAAGGGGTGCAACCTCGCAGAAAAAAAGATGCAAGCATGGCGTGCGTCAGGATTGCCGTGTGTGCAATGCCGCTTCGCCTCGCGGCAAGGCGAAGCCATGCAGGCAACGTGAGTGTCCACACGGGAAGTTGAAGTCTAATTGCTTGAAATGCCAGCCGTGCCCACATGGCAAACTGAAGAGAAACTGCCGACAGTGCAAGCCATGCCCGCACGGAAAGGTCAGCTGGTTTTGCCTGCAATGCCGCGCATGCCCGCATGGCAAGTTGAAGCGGTACTGTCCTCAATGTCGCCCATGCGGGCATGGCACGGTGAAACAAGGATGCCTGCAATGCAGCGCCTGCCCGCATGGCAAGTTCAAGAGGAAATGCGCACACTGCCGCAAGCCCGCAAGCGGCCAGCAGCACAGCTAGGTTCCTCAAATCCTCAAGAAACTCCAAGTCTGTGACGCGCCTTCGGAGTGAACTGCATGGACTCGAGCGGGGCTTGGAGGCCTAGAGGGCAACATGAATGCCCATTGCTGAATGTTGCGAGAGTGCTGTAGGCGTGTGTTTGTTTTTGTTGAGGGTACCTTTTTTTTGTGATGATTAAAGGGAAGCCAACAGGAAAAGCACCATTTGAGTGGGGTCCCCCGAAAAACGACACACCCATAGTATGTCATTTGACAGCTGATTGCGTCGCTTCGGTTCAAACGTTTCAACTAGTTTCTGCTCAAAGCAAGCCAACAAGCAAGCCAACAAGCAAGCCATCAAGGCTATCAAGATACTATGCCCCGGTCCCGTTCCTGGTCCTGGTGGGTTTGCTTGAAGAGGCAACACTGAGCTTGGGCCAAAAGCACCTAATTATCGAGCGTGAAATCGCTCGCAACAGCGTCCTTTGTTCGGGGGGTTGAGTTTCCATTTGATGAATGATAGTCAGTTGTCCTGCGCACCTCGTTTGTCCACATCCGTACCATATATCATTCCTTGAAAGTGTTTTCTTTTTGGCGTTCTTTTCCGCCTAGGAATATTCACAGCATGGGATGCTGTCGCGTGCGTGTTTTGGCGGCCATCAGCGCCATCAGGTTCCTGAAAGACGGTTAGTTGAAACGGTTCGGTCGTTTCAACCGACCCAAAGGTTCCCAGCCATGCAGTTCCTTGGATTTTTGGAGCTTCGGTGTTTCGTGGTGATTTCCATTTGGCTGTGAGTCAAAAATAGGGGAACCCCAAAATGGCACCCTGGTAAGTGGCCACATGGACCAAAACCTGCGGTCCCCTGGCGGTTTAAAGTTTGACCCACACCCATTTGACCCAGTAAGAGTTATTCACTTTCAGGGGGGCTGAGGGCAGCCCGGTGTTCTCTTTGGTTTTTTCCTGCCGGCCAAGCTCAGAATCGAGGCCCAAGCTACCGCGTGAGGGAGCGCCGGGCGCTGAGGGGGTAACCGATCTTCGAGGTTAAACTGACGAACAAAATGCCTACCTGGACCGAGTCTCAACGACCCGACTAAAAGATGCGTCATTGCAACCCCAAAATGATGGAGTTAGGTGATGTCTGAATTGTCTGAAGGGTGGTTTGAGAGTCTATATTTTATTGCGAGCGCACGGATTCGGGGGGAAAAGACGAGGTGACCATGATGAAGGTCCTTTACTTGGGGATCCCTTAAAATCAGTGACATTTTCTGAAAAAAAGGGAATCTCTTGGAATTATAGCGACATTTTCGGACAAAAAAAGCCCTGGCATCTCCTTCAGATGGTGTGTCTTAGTACTTAGGCTTCTTTCAGGAAGCCGAAGGAAACAACCGCTGAAGCCATAGACCAACTGCCAAGGTGGGAAACAACAAAAAAAATCTTAAAAAAAAGCAAAAATCAAACAACGGTATTGCTTTTGGAGCCCTGCCTTTGGATCCAACGGATCCGGCAGGTTCACGCTGGCGCGAGGCGTCCGGCCCTTAGGCCGGCCTTTCGAGCTCTCGGCGCTCGGAGCCCTCGAGCGGCCTCCTCGGGGGAGGGGGAAGGGGGGGAGGGAAGACTGAGGTTCCCTAAGGCTTACCTCTTTAAAACACGAAGCTTTTCTCAACTTTTTGGTTGTGACATGGGCGAAAAGTGTCTGTAAAAGATGAGAGCTTCCCCAGGGCTTGGAGTTTTGAGGGGTAAGAAGGAGATACTTTCCATGTGCATGTGCTTTATGAGAAATGTCCGTTATTTTATACTGGATGGCTTAGGTGATTATCATGGAATTCTCAAGGGGGGCTATGGGGAGGGGGGGCTATCTCTTGTTAAGCCCTATTGGGCTTATCCTTGGGTTATCCAGGGATAGCCCGCACCCCATAGCCCCCCCGAAGATTCCATGAGATTATCATGTCGCAAGTCCGACATGTTTTACATCGCCACGGCCCCTCGCGAGGGAGAACGGACGTAAACGCAGCCTAAATTGACTATCTAGAACCAGGAATGGGTGTGTCTGTCTTTTTTTAAAATCTTTTTTTTACGGGACCCGCCCCCCCCAAAAAAAAGAAGGAAGAAACTGAATAAATAAATGAATAAAGCAAACAAAATAATAGTAATCCACAAACACACGTGTTTCTTTTGGTTTCCCTTGAAACCCAACCAAAAAAAGGGGTTCCCCCCAAAAAAAACAGGACAGACGAATAGAACGGGGCTGGTTCGGAGGTTCCTCTGGGCTTGAGGAACTGCTTCTATGCACGCCCAGCAGCTGCCTGGACAAAGACTCCATGGAAGGCCAGAGTCCGAGGTCTCTGGAGGGTGCCAAGGGAAGCCCATGCCCTAACATTCCTGCTGCAAATTTGGGGGGGGCCTCAAAATGGGTTCTTTTGGCACCCACCCGCCGCACGACTCGGCGCGTGGTACGGGGAACCGCGCGTTCTGCACACCAAGCTGAACGAACCAGTTTCACATGGTTTGCAGGATCTGGGTGTGTCTTGATGGCGCGACAGTTTTCCTTTCAGCTTCCCTATAAAACCACAACATTTTGGTACCTCCAAAGAAAGACACCCCCGAATGCAAACTTATGGGGCCGCCTATTTCTCGCCGGGTCGTAGGGTGTAGCTGATTTCTTGGCGTTTTTCCATGGTGTAGCTCATTTCTGGGGTCCAGGAATTGCGTTTCTTGACTCAACAAAAACCCATCCATGGACCTCGGCGGATAGCTGGATGCACTTCACATCGATTTTTGCACCACTGGGGCTTTCCGGATCCAAGGTAAAACTTTTTTTGGCAGAACCTCTTGTTTGCACGTCGGGTTGCCAGGCTTTGGAGTGCAGGTCCTCACTGCTCTGGACATCTTCGCCACGGACCCAGCTCGAGCGAGTCACCGGGGTTTAGGGGTGGCGGAGTCGCCTGGGTTTATAGTCTAGGTCCCCCAGCTTGCCGTTCTCTCCCCCTTTTTTGGTTGGTAGGGCTGCCCTACTAAAATCGACTACACGAAAAAGGTTCCCTTATTCTAACCTCTCCACTGGAGGACCTAATAGTACCTGGACGACCTGAGCCCTCAAACTACCCGACTAAAAGTGGGTTACGGCCCCAACATGATTGGGTGACGTCCTGTTTGCAGCGGTAGCTTGAGTACCCTTACAACAGGAAAGCACCCCATAGTCAAATTTGGGGCCAGAACCCATTTCGATGGGTAGTTTGAGGATTCAGGCACGCGTGTTAATCCACCCCAAGAAGCAGCCATAAGATTGGTTTTGCTGGCCAACTGGATGGCTTTACAGTAAATTAGACGCATGGGGAGCCTCTGGGAAAACATAAACAAGGACTGGCAGGGCATTGCGCTTTTTGTGTGCTTCAACTGACTCTGGTACGCAACGTGCAGCGTGACTCTGTGATTTGCTGGCCGCGTGCAAAGGGAATTAGCAATCTTGTGATCTATGTATACTCCTTTGGAGAACAGAGACAGGTGGAGCATTTGCAGGAGCGTTTCTTCGGGCGGCAGGGGTGTTTGGAGGGAGCTATCGAGACTAGGTGCCTCAGTGGGATTGATCCATTTGACGGTCTTAAGATGAGTACCTCCTGGCCCCGAAAGAAAGTACCCAAACAAAAAGGGACCTGGACCGATTCTCAAACTACCCATACAAAAGGGACATCACAGACCATATGTTTGGGTTGCAACAACCCATTGTTAGTCGGGTAGTTTGAGCGTCCAGGGACCTGGCAAGCATAATTTTGGGTTGCAATATCCACATTTTTTGTCGGGCAGTTCTTTCGGGAGGCACCTGGAAAGGTTTTCAGGAAGATAAGAACCTTTGGGGGGGTTGTGAACCCTTGGTTTGCTCCCAACCAAAGAAAAGGGCGTGTCTTCTTTTTCCCCCCCTCGCCAAAGTCCCCAAAGTGGCAGTTGTCGGTTCTCCCCTTGGTGTTCCCTTACAACCACCAGAAAAAACTGGACTCCCGGAAAAGGACACCAAGCCCTTCGGATTTTCCCACGGTGACTGCATCCCCGACCGTGAGGTGCGCCCCACTTTGGATGTCAACTCCTCCTCCCTTACCTTCATGCGCAACGCCAATGCAGACCAGGCCCTCGGCCAAGGAGTTGCTCCGGCAAGGAGTTGCCGGAGTCAGTAAGCCAGGTCCCCCCTTTCTCACCCTTTTTTGGGGGAGGGTACCCCTAAAAATAGACTGACATAGGAGTTGCCGGAGTCGGTCAACTTTGGGGCTCGATCCCGGTGAAAACTTTGGTGCATGTCGCCAAGGCCAGGGGCCGTAAGGGCTTGGCTTCTCGGAAGTTGGTGGTTTCCTTCCCCAGAATCAGTTCCCCTTTTTGCTCTTTTGCTTTTTTGGGGATCTCTCTTTGTTTTCCACTAACCAGGCAAAATATATATTTGTTGCTGGGGTCCTAATTCCAGCCTAGTCCTGGTAGATCGTTGCTTTGGCGCATTTTGCCAAGGGATGTTCGGACTTTAACTGTTTGCCAACTAATGGGTGTTCCATTAAACCACTACAAGTTAAACTTTTAGGAGGGGAGCAGAAAGCAACCGAGAGTAAGTCAATCCCAGTGAAAAGTTGACGTGTGCCCTAGGCTCATTTACTGTCGGAGGAGGTGCTGGTGTTGCAGCCAAACGGGTTGAGTTGCCCAGGGCTTTGCGTGTGATTGTCCCACAGCCAGTCCAAATCTGAGCTTGGATGCGTCCCCCGTGTTTTGGGCGGCAAGGACTAAGGACTTTGAAGGGTGTCCGAGCCATTTCCCGATCTGGAACCTGCAAAAGTGGGGATCGTTTCAACACCACAGGTAGATTTGATCAACTTGATTTGCAGAAATCCGGTGACCCCTGTTTTAGGCAAGCCAACTTTGGCAACTCAAAGTTGAAGAGCAGATTTCTTTGCTGGAGCCTCTTTGCATGGTACATGTGAAGCTGGGCCAGAATGTACCAACAAATCTGCAGCTGGGGAAGGGGGGGGCATGATGGAGGTATTCATTAACTCACTTCCTGAGTTTCTGGACTTTTAACTTTTTGGGAAGACCAGTTTAGTGGTCGATGTGGTGTTTGGACTTCTTTTTGGCCAATCCA